CTGGTGTCAGACGTGTCCATCACTAACTGAAGGATCGATAAAGGCCTGGAGAATGGGACTCCAGTGCAGACCACCTTCTCTTGTGTCCACCAATCCAGGGAATGGAGGACATCAGAGGGAACCATCACCACTTTGTCCCAAGGCTGGAAGGACGCGTTGTGAACCCGTGCCAGCCACTTCTGCAGCGAGCTCATGCGGAGCCCAACGTCCTGAATAATGTAGGTGCAGGTGGCCATAAGCCAAGTAGGCACATGAGGGTCCTGGCTATGGTCTTCGGAAACACTTGCATGTCCCAGAAGACCACCTTTATTGCCAGAAAACAGGACCTTAGGAGTGAGACTGTGGCTGACGTAGAGTCCAGGTGGGCACCCATGAGCTATAGTCTGGGTGGAGACCAGGGTTGACTTGGTCACATTCAGAAGGAGACCCAGCTCCTGAAAAAGGTCTCGTACTAGAATGATGTGGTCCAGCACCTGATCTGAAGATGGGCTTTGGAGAAGCCAATTTTCCAGCTAGGGGAACAACTGGATCCCCCACTTACTCAGGGCAGTGATGATGGCCATACACTTTGTAAACACTTGAGCAGCCACAGAAAGGCAAAATGGGAGGGCAGTAAACTGATAATGGTCCTGGCCCACCCACAGGCACCCCTGTGGTGCGGTGCAACAGAAATATGGAAGCAGGCATTTTTTAGATTGAGGGCAGCGCACCATTCTCAGGGAAGGGATGATGGATGCCAGTGTCACCATCTTGAACTTGGTTTTGATGATAAAGGCATTGAGTTTCCTGAGGTCTAGGATGGGTCGGAACCAACTTTAGCCTTGGGAACTACAAAATACCAGGAGTAGAAAACCCTGCCCAAGAACTCCTGGGGTACCACTTCAGCTGCTCCTAGGTTGAGGAGCTGTTATACCTCCTCCTGGAAATGTTTGTGAGAGGGGTCCCTCTATGAGACCTCCTTATCAGTCTGCAGGATAGAGGCCAGGGTTTTCCAGAGGGCCTTTGTGATTTTCGACAGTCTTGCTGATGGGTAAGGTCACTCTGATGGGGGGGATCTGGCTGCAAAAAGTCAACCACGGGGTCTGAATCCTCTGACATGTTTTGTATCTGAACTCCCAGACTCTGGGACAGGCAGCAGAGGTGCTCCTGATGGGAACTTGAGTCCATGGAGGGGAGGGACCCACCAAAGGCCTTGTCAGTAAAAGAGGATGAGGACCCTTTCATACCCACCGCCTCTGGGTTGCGGGCCTGCAAGAGGGTTACCATAAAGGGTTGAGCAGTGGTAGGCCTTCTCTCCGAAGCAGATCTTGGCAAGGCCTGTCCCAACTAAGGGGAGTGAGTCAATGAGGTCACTAAAGGTGGGACCCTGGGTCCTGAGACAACAGACTCTGGTGTAGAGGGGCCCACATCATGGCTCTGATGGTAGGCCCAGGGGGTCCAGAAAGGCCACTGCAGATGTGGTGGCCAGGACTGTGGCATGGCTAGGGCCATGGCTGCTGTTGCCGATGGTGCCGAGATTGTGCCAAGGTTCTGCGATAGGTGATGGGAGTAGGACCAGTGCCATGACCTCAACCTGGAGCCCCAGGATGACCAGCCTGATTCCATCTCTAAGTCGGTTGAGTACTCCAAGGTCGACCGCAACGGTGAGGTGGCAGTGACAGCTGGCAACCTCCCGCTTGGAGGTCGACTCCAGTAGACTTCATTGACTCCAGTTTTCCCCCAGTGCTGAGGAGGAAGAGGCAAAGTCGGCGGCGGTGCCGATCTGCCTGATGGAGAGGGGCTGGTGGCTAGGACAACTCTATTCCAAAGTAGGTGCCACGTGAAGACCCTCTGTTGGTGCTGACTTCGGTGCTGGTGCACAGGTCGGAGCTGTGGCTGGTGCAGAAAGGGGGCAGTGCTGCTCCCGGCACCAGGGTTGTGGTAGGCGCTGCTGGGATAGGGCAATGAGGCTCTCTCACTTCCGGGGCCAGAGTGGCTAGATGCCAAGGTTGAAGGTTGGTGCTGTCTGGACTTGTACTCCTTGGGTGGGCCTGATGCAGAGGTCAGGGAAGAGGTCAGCTCAATCAAGTCTCTCATTGCATCAACAGTGTCAGGAGTACAGGGAGGTTCCCCGCTGGGCTGGAGTCTTCGTGCGGGCTAAAGTGGTGCTGACCTGACCACAATGGTTTGTGTACCGCACTCATCAGTGCCACATGCCCTGCTTGAAGATGCAATGCTAGGTCTCCTCTTCCTCTGGGGCACCTGGGACTGAGACTGGTGTTGAGGCGCTACGCGGCACCGTAGAGGCATATGAGCGGGTAGGTGCCTCCCGCACTTAAGGCGATGTGCTCTGGATGGACGGTTTTGGTTCAGATACTGATGCTGGGCACAGGGCCATTTTCAAAAGGGCCACATGCCCTGCTTGAAGATGCAATGCTAGGTCTCCTCTTCCTCTGGGGCACCTGGGACTGAGACTGGTGTTGAGGCGCTACGCGGCACCGTAGAGGCATATGAGCGGGTAGGTGCCTCCCGCACTTAAGGCGATGTGCTCTGGATGGACGGTTTTGGTTCAGATACTGATGCTGGGCACAGGGCCATTTTCAAAAGGATGGTCT